AAAAAAAAAAAAAAAAGGTAAACTTATGGAAGCAACCCAAGTGCCCAAAAATAGGTGACTGGATCAAGAAGATGAGGTACACACACACACACACACACACACACACACACACGACATTTGCAGCAACATGGATGGAGCTAGAAAGGATCATGCTTAGTGAAATAAGCAGAAAGAAAAAGAAAAATATCAGATGGTTTCACCTTGAGGAGGAATATAAGGGACCAGGGGGAAAAAAGTAATTATAGTAAAGTAAAAATCAAAAGGCAACTATAAACGGTCCACGGTGACTTGGTGGCGGGAAGTCCATAAGGACTAAAACCCAGATGAAAAAGCACACATTGCACAAAAATGAAGAATGGTGTAAAAATATATATTAAAAAAAAAAACTAGACTAAAAGCCCCCCCAAAATCAAATTGTCACACAGCACATGAATGTGTAGTAGAGCCATCACCTGAGTATCTCTGCTGATACTGCAGTTAACAGTGGTTAAATATTGTAGCTATGAAGAGAGAAATGTTCACTAACAGGCAGGAGAGGTTGGCGGGGCTTCGGGGAGAAACCCCAATGCAATCCTGGGGGTGGGGTTGGAAGGGCTTCTATCTTAGTGCCAAACTCCAGCTCCCAGCAAGATAAATGAAGCAATAGCGTGTTCTTCTACAACGTCAAATCATAGTAAAAGGCAATGGGCCCCACACAGAAGATGCTGCTTACAGTTCCGATGTTCCTGGCCTTGTATTCAGAGGGAAGGCCTCCCAGGTACAATTTCCCTTCCACATCCAAGGTGATTCCATCTCCCACTGTGGTCACCAGGGGGGATTCCTGGCCATCAACTGTCATGGAGCCCTTTCTTTTAAAGTACTCTGTTTTGACCTAGAGCAAAATGGAAACATCCATATCTTTTAAGGAAGTTGAGAAAATATTAATTAATTGTTACAATGCCTTACCTACAGCAGTAATAATCTGAATGAAATCCTAAATGATGGCTCAGATGGTCAGAGTTGGTGTTGAGAAGAGACTGAACCTAGGACAGAAAGTGCTCTAGAGCCCCAGAGATGAGAAACCAAATTCCATGGTCTCAAGTTTGGCCCACTCATGACACGGTGGCCTCAGTTTACCTCTTGTCCTGTGAGGTCATTTTGGTAGCTTGAATTCATTCCACCATATTTGCTGAGTGCTTATTTGCGGTCAGATACTAAGCTAGGCCCTGAGGATAGTCCAGGAATTGGAAAAAGTCTCTGCCTGGAAAGAGCTGACAGGCTTTGAGGTAGATATCAGATGGAATGCCAACTAGAAATCAGAGAGATCATTTCACAAGAGTGAAGTGCAGTGGACACGAGAGAGATGAAGGTGTGACCCAGCTTCCTGACAACCTACCGTGTGCCACTTCCCGTCACTGAGCAGCATCGGGTGGGAGACCTGGGTTCTGCCTTTCCCCAGGCCAAACATGAAGTGGAGGCGGCCCTCGTGCAGCTGCAGGGTGGCATAATCAACCTGGTTCTGATGAGCCATGTAGTAAATCAGACCACTGGGGGCGAATGTGCGTATGCTGAGCTGAACCATTAGCCTGGAGGGGAAAAAGAGCCCGGCACACAGAAAGGAGCCTTTACTTTCACGTCTCAAAAAGAGAACATAATAATTGCTGCAACATTTATAGTTAACATCTCAGGAGAAAGTCATTCACTCCATTCATTTATCCATTCATGTATTCACAGTACGTGGATTTTCACTGCAGTGGGAAGTAAAGGGTTTTTAAGAAAAGGGGGTGGGCACGACTTAATTTCTGTCTTAAAAGGTATCTCTGTGCCCTCCCTGGTGGTGCAACAGGTTAAAGCATGGCATTATGAAGCCTCAGAAGCCACTGCAGCATGATTTCGATCCCCTGCCCCAGAGCTGACCCACATAGCGTGGCAGACCTCTCCTGACCAGCCTGCTGTTCCCCTCAGCAGTGTACTTTGTCAGTCTACCTGTTCTGCTCCCCACTCTGTCTCTGGTGAATCCTCTCCCCCACCATACCTCTGGCCTGTACCCTAGTTCTGTAAGCATAAAGTAAATAAATCTTAAAAAAAAAATAAAAAAGGTATCTCTTATGTGAAGAACAGGTCAGATGTGGTGGAAGTGACAGCAGGTGTTAGGCAGGGGACCGTCACAACAGTCCAGAGGCTGGGGGTGGCTTAGCCCAAATGGCAGAGGGGGAGGTGGAAGAGATCAACTCCTGCATGGAATATTCTGGAAGAAGAAGCAATAGGACTTGCCGATGACCTGACTTTGGAGAGTGAAAGAAGGAAATAAACACCTCTAGGTTTTGGGTGGGAAGGTGGTGGAAGTGGGGGTTTCTGTTTTGAATGTTAGAACCCACTGGAGAGGGAATAGAGCACTGGCTGAAAGAAAAGCTCCAGAGCCACAGTGCCTGGGTCTGACTTCCAGCTCTGTTGTTTGACTGGGCAGGTGACTTAAATGTCCCTAGACCTCAAATCCCCCATCTATAATGTGAAGAAAATACTGTCCTCATACAGTAACTGGGGGTTAAGTAAGACAGTAACTGAGACCGTCCCTAGAGCAAGTGTTTGCTCCTCTCCCATTGCTCTTGACAACGGGGTGATCATTCTCTGCTATTGATGGGGTCATGTATGAAATAGGGGGAAGTGGATGCAGCCTGTGCCCTTGAGAGAATGTTCTAGGGCACAAGTGAGAGGGGTGGACAAGGACCCTCCCACCTTGATGGCAAAGGAAGAAGCAAAAGAATGGGACCAAGGGCAGGGAGTATTCTTTTGGGGAGGGGACCCATGAAGGAGACAAGTCAGCAGCTGGAGCAAGAGGAATGGCTATGAGGATGTAGTGAGTTATGCAATAAGAGGAGAAACTGAAAACTAAAACCACATACATATATGAGAAATTTATAGCTGCGGTCACAACGTTAAAAAAAAAACAAAACATCAAACCAAGTAGGAAATAGAAATGTATTTCTACTGCCTTAACCACCAGGCTGACTGTGGCACTGGCCGAGTGTGGTTTTCACCCAGTTTGACTGAATAAGATGAGAGGGAACAGAAAACCTGCAATAATGACACTGAGCCTATCTGTGCAGGGGATAGTGGCAGCTAGAGAAGGGGGTTGTGGCAGTGAGAAAGCAGAATGAAGGGGTCTCAATGCAGCTCAAGAGCTGCTGGGGTGGTGGTAACAGAGCAGAAGTGAAAAGGGAGAGGGGATAACACAGTGCTGCAAGTGAACATTCTGGATGGACACTTCACCAAGGGGAGAAGGCGGCTGAGGAGGGAGGAGCCAACTAGGAGCCTGTGAACGTGAAAGAGCAGGTGTTGGGTGGCTGTAGAGTTCATGGGCATTGTGGCAGAAACAGTAGGAAAAAAGCTGTGGAGTCAAGGTCTGGAGAAGGTGTGATGGGGCAGTGGTCACATGCCAATGGTCACATGGACCAGAGCATGCACAGCCTGAAAACACAGCCTTCCCAACTCCAGCTGGAATGGAGAGTAAAAGGAAGACATGAGAGAAAAGAGGAGTACAGAAGAACCTCACCAGCCCCATGCCCTGAGATCTGGGGGCTGTGAGTGGCTTCATTAAAGGGCCACTGGGGATCAGAGGGAACATGCAGACCAGGGTGGGTGTGGCCCCAGAAGTTTGGGGGAGGGGGAAAATGAAAGAATTTGGGTAGACACTTTTATTAGGTTAGTGAATGCTTCCATCAAAAAGGGGTTGAAAGTTCAGGTGATGAAACATCAGCTTGTGGGATGTATCATCCCAAAAAGGGGTCTTGGGATTCCCAGAATGATGGCCAATTGCTGTGTCTTGCTACTCTCCCAACATCTACACACAGAGTCAGGAACTAGCATGAAGAAAGAAGTATCAAGACAAACTGCCAGAATCCCACCTTTTTATATTCTAAGAGTCCATTACACAAGGCAGCACTGCTATTTCTCCGCCTTCTCATGGCTGCCATTTTGTTGTGAAGCACTCCATAATAAAAATACAACAGGCTTCTAGAAAAGACCCCATTGCTGAAAAACACCCCCCTTCCCATTTTCATCTAGCTGGGGAATCTCTCCACACACTTTACAAGAACACCTACCTCCTTCTGACAGCTGACTGGTTAAAAGGCAACACGAAATGGCTGTGTTGTGTGAGGCCAAACTGGTGAGCACTGGGGACGTACTCTGGAGCTCCTTCCACGGCACACGGTTCCTGTCAGGGATGCACAACGGCCCTCAGACACACACAGCCAGGGTCCCCACTAAGCACACCAGTTCTTCCATGAGAAGGTATGTTAGTGCAATGGTATCAAAACACCAACAACTACAAACAGGTGTTTGCCTGGGTTTAATCTTTAAGTAATTTACTTATTTCTTTAAGTAATTTACGTATTTCTTCATCAAGGAAGTCAGAACTATTTTTCACCTCAAACCTATCTGAGTTAAATTTCCAGGAATTTTTTCAGGCCTACTCTCTCCCTTCTCTCCAGCTCAGGGGTGTAGGGGTGGGGTGGGGGGAAAGGCCTTGAGGAGAGTCACAGCTGTAGCACTAGCCCTGAACTCTGAAAAGTGGAAATGCCCCAGGGGAGAGGCCGGGCAGACCTCTCACTTCCTCGTGGACAGGAGCAGCCAAGAAAAACCCAGCTGAGTAGAGCCCAAACCCCAAGGACAGAGCATGAGAGCCGGAAGTGCCCTCTGCACACTGACTTCAACCGAAATGAGGCCTCAGGCTCAGCCTTTCAGCCTGGGGTGGGCGGGCAGATGTTGCTGAGAGCTCTGTCCTGACGTCACAGATTAGCCCCTGGGGGATTCACTGCTTCCACAGGACTGCACCACCATTTAACTAATTAGAGAGCCCACTTTCTACCTAGGAACTAGAGAAATCAGAAAGGGGGGAAGAAAATGAAAACTAACGAGTGCTATTAAAATCTGGGCAAAATGAGATTTTTCCCCACATAGGTCAAGTCTGTTTTTTTAAAGCAATGCGAGTGTGTACAGTGGCTTACCCTAAGTACTTAGGGTTTCTAACTAAATCCAAAGTGATATAATGAGTTCTTATATAAGCTGTCAAAAAACCCTTTGCTATATTGCAACTAAATGAGAGTACCCAGTGCCAGGCTCTGCAAGTTTGCTCAGAGAACCACTCCCCACCCTGCCCTGCACCTTTGTCCCCCACGGGGATCAGCGCTGTCTCAGCTTTCCCAGGACACCCTTGAAAATCAGCTTCTGCCACAGAGGGCTATACTGAGAGATCAGAGAGGAGATGGAAGAATCAAGAGTGCGTCCCCTGCCTCCATGGCAGGTGTCCGCCCTGGCAGGGCTGTCTTCTCTGTGGTTTCAGTGCCCACAGGACACCTTCTGCTCAGACAATTCCCCCTCAGCGCTCTGCTCAGCCTGTGGTATCACTTTTCTCACCCACCCCCAAAAGTCAATACTCCTATTCCTTCAACTTCCCCAAGACCTTTGTAGTGAGGTTCACATTTTAATTTCCTCTGGGCTGTGCTCGCTTCCTAACTTGGCCTATTGGTATCACCGAGAAAGTCCCTTACTGGCCGTGGTAAAGGCTGGGGCTCGCTGTCCTCTCCATGAGAAGCCGGGTCAGGCCTTTCTGAAAGCAGGCAGGTGTCCAGGTCCACGTGTTCATAATGAACCGCACTAGTGAAATCCAAAAGTCTAGATACAAACAAAGTATTTGCAAAATTAAGCTATCATAAGCCAACATGAACTGCTATCATCTGATTACTGAACACTTAAACATCATTAACATATCACTCTCTGATTAACCATAGATATATCTTACTTCTTGAACCTTCTGCCTGAAGCGGCAACCCCTCTGGTCCCCTGCCACCCCCCATACCACCCCCTCCCCATGTTCTGTTCCCCTGGCCATCCCTGACCTTCCCTCTAGAGTTGGCTCAAATACTGTCTCTCTCTCTCTCTCTCACACACACACACACACACACCCCTGCGCCTGTGCCTCAGGACAGGGCTGTCTCTGGCTTTCACAGCACCACACAGTAGCCTCAATTAAACATGGGTTTCTTTCTTACAGGTTTCCTTTTCCAGGAAGTTATGACCTACACTTGCCATAAACCCCTTTATGCTGCAACCCTTACAGCGTGTTCCTGTCTACACGTACCCTTTGGGCTCTTGAAGGATGTGAACATGAACACAGAAACGCTTCTACCCTATCAAGGTCCCAACTTCACAACTTTCAGGAACACGAAGAAGCCTAATTAATCAATAAATTAATAAACACAATTGTGTGACTATATCTAGAAATTATACAAATAATTAAAGTAAGACTCTGACATAATTATGTCAAAATCCAATGCAATATTCTATTCCTGCAATTATCAAGGATTCCTAAAAGGTTGTCTCACAGAATAGGAAACTGCGACCATGAAGACCAAGTCCTTGCTCAAGGTTACAGAGTCATGGATAGCTCAATGGGGGAAGCAGCAGTCACTGGACACTCAGCACATGGCTAGTTGCCCTTGCATAGAGTTTTGTGTCCCCGGGCAGGGCAAGGCTTCCGTTCTCAGAAAGCTGATCCTGCCAGGGGCAGGGTTTGGGTGAAGAGAAATGAGATGCCCGTGGACACATGTCAATTCTTTTCCTTATCCTGAGTGCCACAAAAGACTCAGACATCCAGTTCTTAATGAAACAGTAATTGTTTTAGGAGGAGACATTAATAATCTGAATGGCGGGCCCTCCCTGGTGGTACAACGGATTAAAGCACAGCACTATGGAGCTACCCACAGCTGCTGTAGCACAAGTTCAATTCTCGGCCAGGGAGGTGACCTACATGGTGCAGCAGACCTCTCCTGCCTTGCCTGCTGCTCCCCTCAGCGGTGTATTTCAGTACATCTGTCTGCTCTGCTCCCCACTGTCTTTGGTGAATTCTTTCACCACCCTACACCTCTGACCTATACCCCAGTTATGTATGCATAAATAAATCCTTTTTAAAATTAATAATAATAATAATCTGAGTGAGAAGCAACCCAGTTATAAAGGCTTCTTTTACAGCTATAAGCTCATGATAACAAGAAACAAGCACCACAAAATCTCTACATTTTCTTAAGTGAATGACAAAAGTGCATTCTACCCTATACTGTTGACTGACAATCTTGTGGACCTAATGTTCCATGATTAAAAAAAAAAAAATGCTTGAGGACCAGGTCTATCACTCTAATCCAACAAAATCCAGTTGGAAGACTTTCATGACACTCGGCACACAGTGGCATTCATTTGTTATCAGGATCATGTAGAATTTTTGGCAATTTCAAGTAGCAAATCA